TGTAATTTCTTTGAATAAAACCAGTGAAGCATCATAGAAGGAAACGCGCTTTTACAGGAGGGCTCCAACAGGATGCGAGTAGGTCAAAATTGAGACCTGCCAACCGCGGCAGCATCAGCCTTAAAGTGGCCTTAAAGCCCAACAGCCGAAGGTCGCACCTCTCCGCAGCGGAAAATGCCACAAGCCACGGACTGTGAGGGAATATGGCTAATTCCAGCTTGGAGAGGGGGTTTTTTTTTAAAAAAAAAAAAAAAAGCTACTAAAGAAACACGTGCCAATGGAATTGTCAAAATGGGGTTTAAAAAGACAGCTGTCTTTCCGCTTAATACATGGAAATGTTCTTCTGTGGGAGCTGCTATTTTCGGCTGCACTATGGTGCTCTTGAGCCTCGTGAAATAGAAGGATGAACATTAATTTCCCACTGGAAATAAAGGCTCAGAGATGGTTTTAACTAAATGAACCATAATATTTTTTTTTAATGTTTTGCGTTGGTCTAAATTCGAGCAACTTAGAAGAGAGGGATTACCGGAGACAAATTGCAAATTCAACACCTGAGGCTCAGAGATGGTTTTAACTAAATGAACCATAATATTTTTTTTTTTTAATGTTTTGCGTTGGTCTAAATTCGAGCAACTTAGAAGAGAGGGATTACCGGAGACAAATTGCAAATTCAACACCTGGATTTAAATCCTACAAAGGGGAAAACGTCGTGTCTGGGTAGGACTGGGGGAAGGCTGTAAGAAGGGGTGTGTGATGGGTGTTTAGTCGAAGACCGTGTGCGTAGCTCAAGGCTCCGGCAGCTCTTCGGGAGGGTGGTAGGCTGCTGGGGGTCTACCAGCAAGGGGTGAAGGTTGGGGAGGTCCGTGCTCAGCAGCCTGGCCGTTTTTTTAACAGCCTGGAGTACTGTGGTAACCCAACGGGGTGCAGAAAATGAGAATTAAATGAGGAATATGGAAGTTTCGGTGGCTGGAGGGTGAACAGGCTTGGAAAAGAGGAGGCAGAGGTGGAGGAGGGTGTACGGCGGGATGGGGGGGAGGATGGAGGGGTGCTGGTACAAGGAGGCGGTGGGAGAGGGAAGATGGATGAGGGGGAACGGGCGTTTTTAACACTCGGGAATTAGCAGAGTTTAGAGCCACGTGTAGACGCAAAAAAAAAAAAAGAAAAAAGAGCGGTGACCCTGACTTTAACAAGCTAGATTTGTCAACGTTAAACATGACAACCTGTAAGGAAAGCAGGAGTGGTGCCAGAGTAGTTTAACAACTTGTGCGGTG